TGGGTGGGGGGGGGGGGGGGGTGGGGTAAGTGTGATGCAGCTCTCAGCTACTTCTCCATGCCTGTTACAAGCTGCCATGCCCCTGCCGTGATGAAAATGGACTGCCCTTTTGAAACTGTAAGTCATCTCCCAGTTAAATGCTTCTTTTTGTAAGAGTTGCCTTGGGCGTGGTGTCTCTTCACAGCCATAGAACAGTGACTAAGACAATGGGTGCTTTGCCTGCAAGCACCCATTCATGTGGTGTCTGTGCACCACATGAATGCAGCACCCATAGAGGCCGAAAAGGGGGGTGTTGTTGAGCCATCTGGGACTGGAGTTACAGTAACAGAAAGCTGTGAGCCACCATGTAGGTGCCAGGAATTGAACCCTGGTCCCCTCTGAAAGAGTGTTCAGCGCTCTTAACCAGTGAGTCCTCTCTCTAGCCTCTGTTATGTGCATATACTATAATATATATTTATCTAGCCATCTAGCATCCATTTCATACTTAAATTTGAGTTAGCATTTATGAGTAAAAACAAACAATAGAAAAGAAATGCCAGGAATGCTAGCTGCCCGAGGCAGGTATGAAGGCGCTTCCCAGGAGAGGTGGTATCTAAGTTAATGTCTGAATGAAGGCTGGAAAGCTAGGCACGAGAAAGAAAAGTGTTCTTGGGAGAGGGTCCATCAAGGGGAGATCAAAGTAAGCTTTAATCTGGTTTTATTCTTAACTTTTAAAGCAAAAACTGTTATTTTATTTATTTATTTATTTTGAGACTGGATTTCTCTGTGTAGCTTGGCTGTCCTGAAACTTACTCTGTAGACCAGGCTGGCCTCAAACTCACAGAGATCCACCTGCCTCTGCCTCCTGAGTGCTAGGATTAAAGGCGTGTGCCACCACTGCCTGGTGAAAACTGGTACTTTAAAGGCACAGAATGAGCTGCAGTCACTTCGACAGCTGCTAGGATGACAAGTACCTACCATCACCACCACAGCGAGGGGTTGTAACAAAGGGGGCAGTACATAGCTTGGGCTGCAGCTGACTTCTCATGGTTATTTTGATATTCTGGTGTAGGTTGTAAGAGCCAGTGTCTCCCCATCTCCCATCCCCATTGATTCCTACAGGAATGTGCATCATACAGGTGTTTCCCATTTCGGTGCAGAGGGCCCCTCCGTACTGCCCATCACACACATGCTGTGCAAGAAGATGCCAAAATCTACTCAGGTAGATTTCCAGGCTGTATGTGCTTTGCTTCATCCCCTAAAGATGGCTTTGAGTACAATATAGACTGCTAATCAGTGCAGACTTGGCCGCAGAGGCCCCGAGTAACACCTCCACTCCATGCCTCTAAGATTGGGGGTGGACTGAACACCTCCACTCCATGCCTCTAAGATTGGGGGTGGGCTGATTTTGGTCTGAAACAGAAATGGCTGTGCATCTCATAGACCGTCAGAGACCCACAGGCTTTGTGTCCTCTCCTGGATAAACTCTGGTGGCTTCCTGGTGGGACTGCCCATGAGGAAGAGGGCTCTGACTACATTTTCTTTTTTTTTTTTCTTTTTTTTTTTTTTGGTTTTTCCAGACAGGATTTCTCTGTGTAGCTTTGGAGCCTATCCTGGCACTCGCTCTGGAGACCAGGCTGGCCTCGAACTCACAGAGATCCGCCTGCCTCTGCCTCCCGAGTGCTGGGGTTAAAGGCGTGTGCCACCAACACCCAGCTACATTTTCTTCTAGATTATTTTGCACCTAACTTCTTCCCTTTCAGCTTTCCTCACAGCTCCCCCCGCCCCCACCCATGTCTGTGGCCAGATTATTTCCCTACTATTCCAGACATTTGCCCTTTCTTCGGGTTCACTTTGCAAGCCAAGTCCTTACACAGCACACATCTAATACCGCTATTGAGAGGGAGGCAAGTATGAAGAAATCAACCATGGAGTCATTTCTCTTTTGTTTCATAAAGAAATGCAACTTTATTATTTTCAAGTACATATGTAGTACTTCAAGCTAAAGTCTTACAGAGGGTCACCAGTAAGGATCTTGTAGATGTTCCTTTATCAAATATATGAGGACTGATGATAATTAGCCTATGCACTTGCTGATTCTAAAGGGAGACTTCTAAAGTGCCTGAAAAGCAAACTTGGAGACAGACTAAATATGCCACTCCCAGCAATACTGTTTATGCTCTTAATTTACTGACCAAATGACTTCTTTATTGATTGTGCAAAGGTAAACTTTTGTTCAAAGTCAATGATCTCAAATTAATCAGGCCCAAATAAATATGGTGTCCTATTTAGACTTCCAGGCCAAGGCCATGACTTATGATAAAGCAAAAGTTCACTGCAATGAGACAGTAAGCCCTTGCAGGGGGGGGGGCACTTTGGGTCTGGCCTAATTCTTGTCTTGTCCTTCATGGTTCCACCCTAGGCCTTCCAGTTTTCTTGCTGTCTCTATCACTTGCTTGGTTCACTCATCTAGGTCCAGCTATCCAATGCTTTTTAGGGCAGGTTGAGAGAACGGGCAGCTGTCCACAGAGCAAAAATGTTAGGTGAGAAGGGAAAACATAAGACAAGCTCTATTCCATAGGAACCTGAAGCCAGCTTCCTGTCTCAAGGAAAGTGGGCACTTGCCTGGGAGTGGTGGCCCTGGCATCTGAGAGGTCAAAGGCAGATTCTCTTCAGATTTTCTCTGTGTCTAAAGTTTCTGACATCCTTTTCCAGGATCAGCTAAGCCATACTGGAAATGACATGGGTTCAGCAGGACAGGCATGAAGGGGATTGAGGGGGAGAGCTAATTAGGGAATCAGAACAGCATGATGAGCTTAAGAAATTGTTCTAAAGAGAGGGGTGTTTCCAAGAGCATGTGGTTGAGATAGCTGGACCTTCCATGACACCTGAGCCTTGTGGACAAAGAGGACCACCACCCAAGGGTCAGTCAGGCACCTGGTGGCACACTGCCTCCTGGTCTTGCCCCTGCTGCTAGTCTGACAAGATGGGAATTTGATCTGCTCAAGTGTTAGCCTATAAAGGCAGGACACAGAGCCAGAGCCCATCCCACCTACCTGGAGACTCAAGGGGACAAACTTGCCTTCCTTTTCTTTGTTTGTGTTCTTCAGCCAGCAAGTCCCAATCTCTCCTTGGTAGCCCAGCTCTCCTCTCTAGGTTCCTGACTGGCCTTGGCTGGGAGACACTCCTAACCTCCCCAACCAGCTTCCCTTTCTGGCCCCAGGCTCTTGGACTCACAAAAGGAGAATTTTGTGTTTTCAAGGTCTGAGGGGGAGGAAAAGGGGAAGACTCAGGTAGGAAGCTAAAGAAGGCAAGAATGGGAAGAGGAATGAAGCCAGAGATGTGAGCACCTGGCTGGCCGTTTGGGAGAATTTCCTTCTGGATTAGACAGAATTAACCTTTGGGCATTATCTGTTTGAAGAATGCAGGTGAGAGTAAAGGACTGGGTATAGGGTGGGCTGGGGTATAGGGTGGGCTGGGGTAACCCTCAGCTCTTCGGGAGAACATGGTAGAGTGGGATGAGAGGGATCTGAGGAGGGGACTGTGACATAGACTGAGGGTTCACAGTTGGACCTATGGAACAGTCACCTCAAGTTTATTTACTCAAGCCTGCCAACTTAGTTCACTCGGTTGCCTCATTCTGTCTCCCTCAAATCTTCCCCCGAAGTACCACCCCAGTTTTTCTCCAGCCCTTCTCTCCACCACCCCAGCAACACCTCAGAGCACCCCAATTTCTCCCATTCTTCCTTTTTCTGGTGAGCTCAGTAGTATGTCTCCTTCTCCACCCAGCCTGTTAGAGAGACAGGATAAAGGTTGCAGCAGGAGCATAAAAGGAAGCAAAAGACCAACCCCAAGGGCTTCAATAGCTGAGGTCAGAGGGAAGGAGACGCCTAGGGAAGAGGGCAGAGAGAAGGGACAAGCCCTCACCTTGTGGGTTTTAAAGGGGAGGGAGGGAGGGGACAAGCCTGTCTACAGGGGAGACTTGTGTTTCATTCATTAGATGCTGAAAATGTCTCCTGGGCTCCCCAGGTAGCAAGTGTCTAAGGAAACAGCTGTCCCACTGGCGCTAGGAAGAAGTGCAGTTGAGGACTGACAGCTCTTTACATTTGTTTTAGGAACCAGATTTCAGAGTTTATGTGAAAGCACCGAAGTTTTAGATGCTGGGTCCATTAGAAAACCACACATCTAAAATATTGGGCCACTCAACCCAAACACTGTTCATGGACCATGTGTGGCCTGTAGGTCATCCATTTCAAACCAGCAATTGATCAAAAATGTTTCCAGGGAAAATAAACAAACCCTTGGTTGATGCCTGAGAATCAGGAGCCCTGTGCCCTGGTGCCAGTTGCTATTCCTTGCCTTACGATCCTAAACGAATAAATCACCTCCGAGCATCTTCTTATCAGCAAAATGTGTAGGTGATTAGATGACCTGGAAAGGCCCTTCTAATTTTATGGTCTGTGATCTCAGAGCAGTGGTTCTCAGCCTATGGGTCAGGACCCCTTTGGCGGGTTGAACAAACATTTTTTCAGGGGTCACATATCAGGTATCTTGCATGTCACAAATTTACATTGTGATTCATAACAGTAACAAAGTTACAGTTGTGAAGTAGTAATGAAAAAAATTTTATGGTTGAGGGGGTCCCTACACCAGGAGGAACTATATTGAAGGGTCCAGCATTAGGAAAGTTGAGAACCACTGTTCTGGAGGAAGGTGGAGGCCCTGAAGAACCACGTTAATCTAGGTGGGATTTAGGATCTGACAGGAAGGGAGGGTTGGGCCTGCTCAGGGCTTTTGGGACCTTAGGGTCAGAACTGTCTGCAAAGAGGAAGTGCTTACCCCCAGGGTACCGCCTTAGGATGAGCTTTCGGACTTCATCATAGATGAAGATGAGGAGACTGTAGGGAAAGGCACAGAACCACCAAGTGACCCTGAAAACAATGGAGGGAAACATCAGGGGCCTCAGAGGCTGGCACCATGTCACAAAAGTAGAATCAAAGTGAATTAGACAGCCTTGATCCTAAAAAGGGCCGGAGATTTCTCTGTTCCTACCACTCCCTTAGCCACCTGAAGAGACACTCACTTGAGTGGGTACATTCGGAGGGCCACCCCCATGCCCGGACAGTAAGACAGAAAGGCAGCCAAGGCTGTCTCTTCTAGGAGCCCAAAAATCAGGATCTTGTTCCTAGAAAAGCAAAGCAAAGAAGGCAGTTAGTATGTGGGGGCGGGGCCGGGGGGGCGTCTAGAGAGAGAGCTCCAGGGGCGCTCCTGGAGCAGAAGGGAAGGAGAGGAGTGAAAGGTGGGGGATGGGTTTCTGGAATCAGACCTGTCAAGTCTATGGCTAGCTTAGCCACTTCCTGACTTTGGGAGGGGGTTTAAAGCGTGCTTAATTTCTTCGAGCCTCATGCTTCTTCTCGCCATACAATAAACATAAAAAGACAAGCTCTCTTTGGTCACATAAAGCATCGGACCATGTCTGAAGAGGACGTAGGGATATCTCATTGCTTTTCTACCACACAGCCCACATTTTAAATGATTTTTGTCTCTCGGGTTACACTTGGTAGTAAGTGATGAATACATTAAAGTTTATTATGAATATTCATGGAGTCCCAGCGGAACTGGGTTAACATGCCATCGCTGTCTTTTTGGGGTTTGCCCAAGGATGACCTACTAGAAAACCTGGCAGTTTCTTATGAGTAAGTGCTTTGTTCATGTGGCTTTTTGAAATACTGCTGAGAGGTATCTCTGAGGGCTTTCAACTGCCCAAGGACAGAAGGTGAGACCCAGGCACACTAAGGCTGCCTCTGGCCAGGTGGCTTGTGGGTATCAATACTTCTTCCCTGTACTTAGCCACAGTCACGTTGATTCTTTATTTGCCTCTTGGGTGGGCTGAGTTAATCAGTTTGGTTTCATCTCCACTTTCTCGTGTCACCCATATGCTGCCCTGTAAGTATCTGGCACAGGACTGTGCCTAATTTCTTAGATGCTCTGGGACAAATTTCATTTGGGGAACAGTGGCCTTTGTTTCTGGTGAGAAAAATAAATACAAACAAGAAACCAGCCTGGCCCCTTCAGTATGCAGTCTCCATCTGTGTTAAAATCACCAGTGAATGAGATTCCAGATGTATAACAAATGAGCTACTACGGTGTGGGGTGGAGATGGACCTGGAAGGCCCTGGGCAGCTGAAGGCCCTTATCAGCTAACCTTGGGGGTTTCTTGCCCACGCAGGGTACAGTCAAACCCACCTTGGAAGAGCTGTTGTGGGATTAGAGGGAGGCACTTAATTCACTGCCTGGCACATGGTACCACACCATAGGAAGGCCTGAATATGCCCCCTGGGCAGATGAAGAACGGTAGGTCAAGTGCCAAGTGTTTGTGTGGAGTACAGGAGACCTGGCCCTGGGTTTAGAACTGGGCAAAGGATAATCCTAGGTGCCGCTCAGATAGGGAACGGAAGAGGAAGAGGGTGAGAGAAAATAAGGGGGTGAATATGCAGGTAGGGAGCCATGGCAGGTTACTTTAGAAGCAATGTTAGAATTCAGTAGAAAGGCTCTTGCCATTCTCTCTCTGTGTGTGTGTGTTTCAAACCTGGCTGTGGATAAGTCGCTAGGTTATTACAACCAGATACTGGTAGTGGTAGTGGTAGCGGTAGCGGTAGTGGTAGTGGTAGCGGTAGTGGTAGCGGTAGGCACTCACTTCATGCCCTGCTGGAAGACTGAGTTGCGACGAGTCTTGCAGATGATGAGGTCAGCCCACTGCACAACCACGATGCTGGCAAAGAAGGCCGTGTGGCATGTGAACTCTACCACCTTCCGCTGCTCGTAGGTCTGGGCAGGAGGCACGCCGAGAGAGGGAAAGAGTGAGGGAAGGGATAGGCAGTACCAGCAGACAGCACACTTTAGGCAGTCGTTAAACTTGGCACTTAATCCACCTTCTGCCCCTAGCTCGATCCTGGCCAATTCCTGCCCTCAGCCTGCATCACGTTTACACAGCGGCACTCACCCACTCTTGCCCATAGCTGTCCTCCAGGTCATTGGTCGTCCGATCATCCCAGTCAAGACGGATTCCCAGCAGCCGTGATGGCAGAAACCCGTTCTCTGCCAGTATCACAAAGTAGGTGAAGAAGCCGCCCAGAGCCTGGATCATGCCTGGAGATGGTTGTAAACAGAAGGAGGGACCTGAGTAGGGAAAGAGGCAGGAAAGGGGCCACCTCTCGGGAACAGAGATGGAAGTCGCTGGCTCTCAGGGAGCTGGACCCTTTCCCGAAATTTCTCTCATCTCTCTCAGGCATTAGAAGAAGCTTTTGGGGGCACCCTCCCGAGCCCCTGGCTGGGCGCACCAATCTGTCCATAAGCCATGCTGATAAGCCTCTCGTTCACCAGCTTGTCTGTCTGGGAGTTTCTAGGCTGCCGCTTCATGATGTCGCTCTCAGCCGCCTCGTATGCTAATGAGATCGCGGGAACCTGTGTACAGAGGACATGGGGAGGAGAAGGTGACTGAAGAGATCTGGGAAACAAGAGCAACAGCTGCTCAGTGAAGAGTCAACAGAATGCAATACACCGGTATTTAAGATCCTATTATCACTAGGGGTATAGCTTAGGGGTGGAGCACTTGCTTAGCATGAGTGCATCCTGGGTTCGATCCCCGATACTACAGGGTGGTAAGGAGAAACTTCCTGTTTTCCTCCAGGCCTGGGCTTATCTGCTGTCTATTGGTTGGGGTCTGGTCAGATGCCCCGGGCGCAGATCCTTTGTCTGCTGCTCACCCTACCCCTGTTCTGAGTGAGTGCCTGGTCTGACTGTACTCTACCCTCTGGCCTCACCATATCTGTGCCCAGGTCAATGCAGAGGATGGTCACAGTGCCCAGGGGCAGCGGGATGTTGGCAATGATGAACAGCAGAAAGGGGGTGATCTCAGGGATGTTGCTGGTCAGGGTGTACGCGATGGACTTCTTCAAGTTGTCAAAGATCAGACGACCTGTGGAGAGGTTCTGAGGGCATCAGAGAGGTTAGAGGAACTCTCCCCCGCCCCAGGCCCTGAGATGTGTGTGGCTGCTCATTTTTCAAAGAGGAAGGTTTAAAGCTGAAGCAGCAGCATGGAATCTTAGTGTGAGGATCAGAGGAAGCCAAAGGTCTGGCTTCAGACATCCTGGATGTCACACAGCCCACACAGCTTCCTCACCCTCCTCGACGCCTGTCACGATGGAGGCGAAGTTGTCGTCGAGAAGGATCATGTCAGCGGCCTGCTTAGAGACATCGGAGCCAGAGATGCCCATGGCAATGCCGATGTCAGCCTTCTTCAGCGCGGGGGAGTCGTTCACCCCGTCCCCAGTCACTGCTACAATGGCTCCCTGAGGGGAAGACGCCAAAGGTGCTTGAGGACAAAGTGCTTGCCTGTGTGGCCCCTGACTTTGTCGCTCGCTGCTCGCCTCGCCGTCTTGCTCACCTGCCTCTGACACCCCTCCACAATAATGAGCTTCTGCTGAGGGGATGTCCGGGCAAACACAATCTCCGTGTGGTCCCTGAGGATCTCATCCAGCTGCTCTGACGTCATGTCCTTCAGGTCCGACCCATGCACTACACATGCTTTGGCTTCTCTGGAGGGTAGAGGCAGAGACAGCTGACCATCCATGCTCATGCCAATCCTGCTGCTCCCCCCCACACCCGTGTGCCTTAGTTCCTCTGTGAGGTGGGACTCTGCCATTGCTTTTGTGCCCTCTTCTGTGACACTGAGTTCCACTACTTCTCTGAGAGAAGGCAATACTACATCCTCCCCACGCAATACCACACAAGTCTAAGTGCTGCTTGCTAGGCATAGCTCATCCCTATAGCAACCCTGCCATGTGGACAGCATCTTAATTTCATAACTGAGAAAATGGAAGTTCAGGACTGCAAAGACGTTTCCAAGGTTACACAGCTCGTCAGTGGTACAGGCTGGACACAAACTTGTCTGGGGAAATGGCCATTGGGCTGGCAAAGGAAAGATTTTAGTCTGAGGGTTCCAGAGATGCTGTCCAGATATCCCCAAGGGACCCTGAGGGCCTCTGTGAGGGTCTTTGTAAAGGCCTTACCTGGGATTGACTTGACTCACAGGAATGTTGAGCCGGGCTGCAATGTCCTCCACAGTCTCGTTACCCTCTGATATAATGCCCACACCTTTGGCAATGGCCTTGGCTGTGATAGGGTGGTCCCCAGTCACCATGATCACCTGATAGGAAGAAGACACAAAAAGAAAGCAGCGTTGAGTTCCCCCTCTCATTCCTTTTCCCAAATGGAGGTAGGTGTGTGTGTGTGTGTGTGTGTGTGTGTGTGTGTGTGTGTGTGTGTGTGTGTGAAGGTTTGGTGGTAAGGACAAGAGACATTGACAAACTGTGTTTGTTTCAGAGTTCAGAGGATGAGAGAGCCTATTTAAAGGGCCAGAAACATCCACAGCAGATTGATGGGTTAGTGAGGGTCCCTTGGCAGAGGAGAGTCTGTGTGTTCTCCCTAACCCTGTCTCCTTGTCTCTCTTTGTCCTTTTTTCTCTGTCTCTCTGTCTCTCTCTGTGTGTGTCTCTCTCTCTGTCTGTCTCCTCTACTCTCTCTGGGACAAGATCTTGAGGCATGTAGCCCAAGCTGGCCTCAAACTTGCAGGATCCTCTTGTCCGTGCCTGTCAAGTGCTGGGATTATAAGCATATGTTACTATGCCCGGGTTGTCTGGGAAATTTCTTGAGGAGTTTGGCTATGTGGGAAATGAGGCAGTCAAAGCTGGATGGATTATCCCTTACAGCTCCTCCCCCCTCCTCCTTTTATTACTTTATGTGTATGGGTGTTTTGTCTGTCTGTGTGTCTGTGTACCACATATGTGCCTGGCACCCTTGGAGACCAGAAGAGGGCATTTAATACCGTGAACGGTGTGAGTTGCCGAGTGAGTCTTCTGAAAGAGCAGCCCGAGAGTGCTCTTAACTGCTGGACTAACTCTCCAACCTTTAACTGCCCCCTCTGAATATAGTAAAGGAGATCAATTTTGTGAGCACTCGTGATTTCTTCAAGGTCACAGGGACCCTAAACAAAGGTTTGATTTTCCCAGTGTCTCATGTGATCAATGTAGCATTTTGGTTGGATAGAGTGGTGCTAAGATGAAGACAGTGTCCAGCTGCTGCCATGCTCATCAGCTTCCAACAGCCCTGCCTGGTACGGGGAGAAGGCACTTCTTGCCTAAGCCGTGATAATTAATGTTCATTACTATTGCAGCATAGATGGAGTGTCATGGGAAGCGAGTAGGCCTGGAAAGAGGCTGTTATCAGCAGAAAGTGATCAAAGCTGGTTGAGGACAGATTTCCATATGTGGGCTTGTGGAAGAAGTCCTACAGATCTGAGACCAGACACCTCTTCAGGCCCACTGGCTGCCTTCTCTCCCACCCTCATTATAACCTGAAACCACCCTCAAAGTGCCTTCCATTGAAAAACAAGTGTCTCGGCACACCTCGCCGGCCTCGACTCTCTCAGGCATTGAAGCCCTTCACTCCCTTGGTTTCTGCACCTCCTTTATTTCTGCTCCAGTTGTACCCCTACCCTGCTGCACATTCTTTCAAGCCTCCTCGGGGTGGCAGAATGGAGCCTCACAGAGTGGAGTAATTGCTGGCTTTGGACAGGAACCTAAGTGTGAACACTGACCTTCACCAACTGTTGGACCTTAGACAAGACAAATTTTCTATTTCAGCACAATGGAGGGAATGATCCACACCATCCCAGGCTGGCATTCTGTAGACACTCAATAAATGGTGGCTGTGTCCTACCCACCCCCACTGGCTCCTCTTTCTCCCTGTCCCCAGAAATGTCGGTGAATCCAGGGTTTCATTCTTCACCCTTTCCTTGACTCTTGTTTGCTTCCTGAACAATATAATAAACTATCCTGATAAGCCTTCAGTTTGTACTCATGTGCTAATGAGATTTAAATCTCCAGTCCTGACCCGCTTTCTACATTACTACTGTCCCTCAATAGCCTCTCTCTCTCTCTCTCTCTCTCTCTCTCTGTGTGTGTGTGTGTGTGTGTGTTTCTTGCAGATGCTTTAAACTTAAGGTCCATGCTGCACTCCTGTCTGTTCTCCCTGCACCCCCCTCCAGCTCCTCTCATCTTAGATACCATCTGCTCTATTCACTCCGTCCTGTTCTCTCCTCTATCTTCCCACCCTCGAATGTAACTATGTGTCTTTGCTGCCTTTGTCTCTGTGTTCAGATCCTCATCCCTTGCTTGGACGATTGTGTACCTTCTAATCTGTCTCCCTGTTCCAGACCTCAGCTTTTCCTCAAATCTAGTCCCTCCTCCACTAGGTAGCCTTACAGCTATATCTGTGACAGTTGTGGCCATCTGTGGCACACAGGATAAGGCTCGAGTCTGGCACTTAAAGAAAATCCTTCCAACTGGCCTTGACCCAATGTTTGAGTCCCAATTCCCAGTGTTCTGTCGTCATCTCTCCCCATTGACCTGTACACCCCCACCTCCTGATAGTGTGGGCATGTCCGGGTACTAGCTGTTCCCTGATCTTGCCATGCCTCCCCTTCCTTTATAGCCTGCTGAATCCTCTTCAGCCTTCAGGGCCCAGGTCAAATATCATCTCTTCTATTAAACCCTGTCTAGTTCTCAGAGGCAGAATTAACAGCTCTCGGGTGAGTTTTCCATAGAGTCCTTGCCCAGCCTCTGCTATTTCTCGTCATGCTGAGAGGCACCTGACTGGGCAGAAAGAAGGAGTGTGGCTTCCAGACAAGCCAACTGTGCCTCGTATTCCCAGTTCACCTCTTACCAACAGTTCTATTTTGGGGAAACTATTTACCTACTCTGAGTTTCTTTGTGTTTGTGTATTGCAGTGGGAGGTAATAATGCCTGTTTTCCATTCTGAGTGGTTATTATAGTCAAAACTGACACACGTACATGGCATCAAGTCTTCTGGTGTGGTGGTTAAGAGACAGACTGCCTTGTTTCAAATTCTGACTTTACAACTTACTGTCTATGTGGTCTTCGGCTTGCTGTTTTGTGCCTCAATTTCTCTCTCTGTAGCAGGGAAGATACTTGGGCTTACCCAGAAGGCTGCCATGCTTAGCGTTTAGAGCAGTGTCTGATGCATACAAAAAATTAAAATAATGTATCATTGGGGCAATAGATACTCAATGACCTCAACTCTTTTGTTTTGTTTTTTTGAGACAGGGTCTCTCTAGGTAGCTTTGCAGACCAGGCTGGCCTGGAACTCACAGAGATCTGCCTGCCTCTGCCTCCCGAGTGCTGGGATTAAAAGTGTGCACCACCACTGCCCATCGACCTCAACTCTTAAGACTGTTTTTGATGTGTTTAGAAGCATCTACCCCCACGAGAGATCTTGAGATGTGGAGGCCAGGCACAGAGGGCTACAAAGACTTAACTGGCCAGGCACAGAGGGCTACAAAGACTCAACTCTCAGGGAGCAGGTTGAGTTTCATTGTTCAAAAAAAGGAAGAGCAACACATGGCACCAGAATTGGTGAGCAGAACAAGAGGATGTCAGGGACCCGTCTTGGAAATAGGGAACTGAGTTCCTGGATGGTTGGTTTGTTATTTAATAAACTTGGCACTTTGCATGGTGCCCGATGCACAGTTGGTAAGCAATTAAATATTTGCTGGATGAAGAACAAGCCAAACAAATAAGATAGAGTATTCAGTGAGAAGTGGTTGTGGTTGGACAGGAACTCAGTGGGAAGTCGTGGGTGAGTGGGGAGAGTAAGGAGTGACAAGGAAAGCTTGTTGGGACAGACAGGAGTTTACTAGTCCCTATGCCAATGGGTAGACTGAGCAGCTGGGCAGTCAGACAACCAAGTAGCCATAATGGGAGTGCCAGCTGATGCTTAGAGTGAGAAAGGAAGGGTGCACATGCAGGCGGGGTGGTGAGCTGGGGTAGGTGACAGGCGCAGCAGGCAAAAGGAAGAAGCAAGAGCTCTCACTAGGACCTTTCCCTGCAGGACAGTTTCTCTGTGTCACTGGGAAGGAGGCCACCAGGAGCCCAGGTCTCCTCAGGACACAGCTGTTGCGGTCCCTTGACCTCTGGCAGGTGGTCAGGCATACAAGGACAGAGGAGGAGGATGGGAAGGAGGCCGGTACCTTGATGCCCGCACTTCGGCACTTGCCCACAGCATCTGGCACAGCTGCCCTGGGTGGGTCAATCATAGACATGAGCCCCACAAAACAGAGCTTCTCTGTGGGAAAGTTCAGCTCATCTGTGTCAAATTTGAAGCCCCGAGGAAACTTTCCAGAAGGCAGGTTCAGCTGACAGAAGCCTGAGGAGGAGCAGGAAGGAGGAATGAGAGCAGCAGAGTGGCTTCCTGGTCACCTCCAGGGGCCCTTATGCTAGAGACACTACCAAGACTCAGGACCCACCCTTCTCAGCCCTGCTCTGGCTTCTGCCCGCTCACCTAGCACACGCTCCCCGAGTCCTCCCAGCTCCATGTAGGCGTTTTGAAAGGCATCTTGCATCTCCTTGTCCAGAGGGATCTCCTTGCCCTGTACCAGGATGGTAGAGCATCGGTCCAGGATACGCTCTGGGGCTCCTTTCATCACCAGCACATGGCTCTGGGGGCTGTCTTCTCTCTCATGGATGGACAGCTGGAGAGGAGAAAGGCAGTCACAGGAGAGACATACTATCCTGGTGGCTTAGCATAGGGTCTGATAAGAAGCAGCTTCTGAGAAGGAGTAACATAACTCTTATGTTCCTTAATAACATAACTCTAGGGGGCTGGAGAGATGGCTCGGAGGTTAAGAACACCAGCTGTTCTTCCAGAGGTCCTGAGTTCAATTCCCAGCAACCACATGGTGGCTCACAACCATCCATTATGAGATCTGGTGCCCTCTTCTGGTGTGCAGATATACATGGAATGTTGTATACATAATAAATAAAATCTAAACAAAAAAAACATAACTCTAACCCATCAAAGAGTGTCAACAAAGGAGAAACTATGTGTGGAAGGTGTTTGCTTATAGTCCCAAGCCTTAAAATCTGAGAGTCACTTCCATAGAACAGTGATTCATTTGACAAATAATTATTAGGATCACTGAGGACAGGCATTGTGCTAGGGGTTGGTTGGATGGCTCTTATTAGCACCCCCTATTCCCCAGTGACCCAGGGACTTTACCTCCACAGTGCAAGCAGAGGAGAGCTGAGACTATTGGTACTAACAGGCACCTAAATACTGAGGGACGCAGTAAGAGAATTATGGACGTGTGCTTTAGTTATATGGATGGCAGTATTGTAGCGTCATCGCCAGTGAATGGAGATGAGGGCTACCAGAAGAGGAGCGAGATGGTGACAGGCCACAGGTGGTAAGGTTTGCCAGTCAGAGGATGATGGCAAGCACACCTGCAGCCAGGCCATTTGTCCTGGGAGTGAGGCAGGAGCGAGAGCACACAGTCCTCAGATATTCTCATCCCTTCTTCCTGTTGAGTCTCTGTTGGCTCACTTTCTCTTATTGAGTCTCCGTTCTCTCTCTCTACCCATTTTTGCCCCTCTTTCTTTCTGTGTCCCAGCAGCTCAGCCAGACCTGATATTTGTTAGTAGAGTTGAAGGGAATTTCTGCCACCTTCGGGTTCCTGTCCCTCATCTTCCGCACTGAGCCACAGGACAACTCAATGCATTTGAGTAGCGCTGACTCAGAGGCATCACCAGCTGTGTCCCGCTGCCAGAAGAAAATAGAATTCAATGTCACAGTGGCTGGAGGGGAGGGAGTGCAGGATGGGAGAGACAGGGCATCAGTTGAGGTCACCAAAGGCAGCTACAGGGTGTGAGAGGGAAAGCTGGGCGTCAGCAAGGGGACTTTGGAGACACCCCCCCCCAACACATATGTGTCTGCACTCACTGATTGACCCCTTACCTTAGACACAGAGATGTTCTCCTGCCCAGCCTTGAAGACAGCACGATTGCAGAGACCAGCAATCCGAGACAGGGCTGTCCACGTCGGGGACCGCTTGTCAAAAGTGGCCCCTGGGAAGAAACAAGGGAGAGGCTTGGCTCCCTGTTCGAGTGTTTTCACACCCTAGTCTCTCTCTCTTCTGCCAGGAAGCTCAGCACTAGCCACTTCCCTACACCCTTTCTAGAGCACCCAATCACCGGACTGATCCTCGGTGGTGTCGGCCTCGTGGATCTGGTTGTCGAACCACATGTGGGCCACCGTCATGCGGTTCTGGGTGAGGGTGCCCGTCTTGTCCGAGCAGATGGTGGATGTGGAGCCCAGTGTCTCCACCGCCTCCAGGTTCTTCACCAGGCAGTTCTTCCGAGCCATGCGCTTGGCTGTCAGCGTCAGGCACACCTGGTGCACAGAGAGGAGAACAAAAAGGTCCAAGTCTAGAGTGACGGGTGTCCACGGCCATTTCCTTTCCTGAAGCCCTAATTCCTTTTTCCTTTATCCTACAAATAAGATTGGGTGGGACCTAGCAGTAAATAGTGCCAGTTCAACACTGGGCATGTTGAACTGGCTCCCAGGTGCATTTGTAGTAAATGCCCAGCAGAGAGTTGAACACATGAGTCCATATCAGACACAAAGACGTGAGAGTCACCTACACAGAAGGGACAACAGAAGCTGTGGAGAAAAATGGATTCCTTTGTGGGCAACAAAGAGGAAAAGAGCGAGGGTCTGGGGCTTGACAGCCATTGAGTTTCTGTGAGGACACAGGACAGGAGAACCAGGATGGTGACACATCACAGTAGCTGGTGAAGGACAGAGTGCAAGGGGGTGGACAGACGTATCCATTTCAGCAGCAGGGTTAAGGATGGGAGCTGAGAAATGTCACTCTTTTTTTTTTTTTTGCTAGTTAGTCACTGGTGACCTTTGAAAGCATCTTTATAGCCAGTGAGACAGGATGAACCCCAGACTGCATCAGGAGACAAGCACACAGATGGTGAGAACCATGACCATAACAAGCCTCCAAAGGGAAACAATGCTCAGATACAGCTCAACCCCCAACTTTTCAACTTAGAACTCCAAGGCACGCATTAAACCATTTCTGTGTACAGCGTCTGCTGTATGACTGCAGGGACTTGAAGGCAAGAACATTGCTGAAAAGCAATGAGTGACTTCGTTCGTGTCAAATGGGGAGAAGGACAAGGACAGTGGCGCCGGTGGCACTTCAGCCTGATCCACTCACAGTCACAGTGGCCAAAAGCCCTTCAGGCACGTTGGCTACGATGATGCCGATGAGGAAGATGACGGCCTCCAGCCAGCTGTAGCCCAGGATGAGGGACAGCACGAAGAAAGAAACCCCCAGGAACACTGCCACTCCTGTGATCAGCTGGATGAAGTGCTCGATTTCCATGGCTATGGGTGTCTGCCCCACCTCGAGGCCAGAGGCGAGGGTGGCTATGCGGCCCATCACCGTCCGGTCACCTGTGGCAATCACAATGCCCCTGGCAGTGCCTGAAATAGAGGAAAGGACAGAGAATAAGTGCCCTGGGCTTGCCGATGACTGAAATCTCATCATATTTGCTAAGGAAATAAAACCATCACAGAGTAAATAAGCCAAAGACTCTATCCCTGAAGGCTACTTTTAGGAAACCAGGCTTGTCCTCCCTTCATAGATCACCAATCTCAGATTAAATACAGTCGCAAATTATTCTCTTTTCTATTTGAGCCTGAGAAGACATCTTGCAAGTAATACTAAAGCTTCAATTGAAGAGATTCAATAAATGAAATAAAAATTGCCTGCAATATTTCAGCAATCAATCTTACACTAGACATTTTTCAAGAGCATGTTATAAACAGAAGGAAAGTACTTATTGATTTTGGGGGGAGCTTTTCTTGGGCCAGCAAGACAGTTCAGTGTGTAAGGGCACCACCTGCTATTCCCAACGACCCGAGTTCAGTCTCTGGAACTCACATGGTAGAAGAAAAGAACCAGGTCCTGCAAGTCTTTCACATGTGCACTGTGGCATGAGTGTGCTCACACACACACAAACACACACTCACACAGACTCTCTCTCTCACACACACACAGTCACTCTCATACACACACATACACACACACACACACAACACACACACTCACACACACAGACACTCTCTCACACACACACACACAGACTCTCTCTCACACACACACACTCACACACACACTCACACTCTCTCTCTCACACACACACACTCACACACACACACACACACTAATAATTATGAAAGTTTTTAATTAAAAAAATCCCAATGTGGGGGCTGGAGAGATGACTCAGCAGTTAAGAGCACTAGCTGCTCTTCCAGAGGTCCTGAGTTCAATTCCCAGCACCCTCATGGCAGCTTGTAACTGCCTGTAACTCTAGTTCCAGGGGATCTGACACCATCATACCAATGTACATAAAATAAAGTAAATTGTTTAAAAAATCCCAATGTTAGGTATGAAACTCTATTAAGGAAGTAAGGTAATCAATCATTCGCCATGTGTGACATTACAGGGGTCTTAAGGAAAGGAAGTGTGGTGCCGTGGGAACAGCACGCATGTTTAAGTCAGCCAAATCTGGGTTTGATGCCTGTTTGAACTCCTACCTAGGAGTCAGTAGTCAAATAGGATAACTGTGGAAGCACTTTGACCAGTGTCTGTCTCATAGCAGGCAGGCAACAAATGTGACTTCCGTTCATTCCTCTCCTCTCTTTGGAGCTAGCTGCTGAATAAGCAATATGAACACCTTATCTGACCTTTCAAATACATTCAGTTATGGGAAATGTATGATAAATCAGAATCTCAGTACATTAAAAATTTAGGAAATTTAATGTGTAGTGATTTTTTATTGTAATTCCAATTCTCTGAACGAGCAAACCAAGCCCAGAGAACCAATATATGGAGGAGAGAAAGTCTCAGGGAAAGGAAAGTATGGAGTTGGGATGCAAGAAGCCATTCTTTGTCACTGTGTGAGAGGGCCGTGGTCTAGGAAACCTCTCTCCTACTATCTCCTTCCACAGACTCTTTCCCAGAGCCAGCCCTGCCTGAGCTCCCTGGCTGGACCATGGAGTATGGGCTGTAGTTGTGCTTAGGCTCCTATTCTTGTGTGATAACAGATCCCAGAGCTCTCATTCGCCACCAGTGCTCATCACTAGAACCCAGAACTGAGATGGAACAGCCAGGGCAGACAGCACATTATGAGAATTTTCTTCTCATCATGGCCTAGGTGGATGATGCAGCCTGAAGGAGGACCTGATTTTCACCACAAAGTTTTCCTGACCCAGATTAAGCCTCAGGTTTCTGATCACCAGCTGAGGAAGGAAGAAGCTGGTCTAGAACCACAGACCTAGAAGGCATTATGTGACTCCCCACATTCAAGGAGTCAAGGCTGTGTGGGGGACACATCTTGACCCACCATCTGAAAGTTTTGTGGAAGGCTTTCAGTCTGGGGATGGACAGAACAGAGAGCTTCTTGGGGAGAGGTGACTTCTAATAGAGTCTGTCTGCCCTTGGCCAATGCCCTGCTCTCCAGACTATTTCTGCCATGCTCAGCGTCCTGTTCCCTCAATGTCCTTTATATACAGAGCTTATTTTGCCAAATAAGTACAGCTTCGGGAGTCAGACCTTTCCCCGCACTGTGCTGGGATGAGGGGCGTTCTTGGGAGGTTAGCTTCTCACCTTCCACGCAGTTGGTAGAGAAGAAACAGATATTTCGGGTCTCCAGTGGGTTCTCATGGGTGAACTCAGGGGAACGGGTCTGGGGCTCTGACTCCCCTGTTAGGGATGAGTTATCCACCTGAGGAGGAAGGGGTGTAGTCATCAGACTGGCAGCAGCAGCAGCACTGTGAGCACACAGCTGTCTCCTGAGCCAGATCCAGCCACCCTCAATCTTCATGACAAAGAGGGACAAAATTACATTTGCCCTCATCACATATTTATGGCATTACTCAGCTATTGCTCCTTCTTTGGTGTGGATGACTGACTGTTCCTGACTTTAATGTGTCTTTGGGTTATTTACTTAACCCACAAGGCCTTCACTTGTTCACCTGTAAAGTGGGGAATGTAAACAAGATCATTGCATTGCACAACTCCAGAAGCACCACCAACAAGGCAGTCTATGAAAATGCTGCCTCCTGGGGTTGATCAGGCTGCAACATACCGCAGCTTTCATAATTACATCATCGTTTTCCAGACACCTCTCTGTGTAGCCAGGCTGGGCTGACTTTGAACTTTCCATTCTCCTGTCTCCACGCTCTACGTGCAAAGTGCTAAGATAACAGGTGTGAAGACCCAGATCCTTCATCTTTATTTCCTTAAAATTTTATTTATGTGATATCTGGGGCTCTCTGTAGCCCAGGCTGGTCTGGAATCTTTCAGAGTGAAATTGGATGGAATATGCAAGGCTTCTGTTACACAAATGTTATTCCATATACAATGGCTATGAAGTGGCTATATGAAAGAAATCCCAGGGTATAGAGCATCCCTAACACAGATACACAGAGGTAACGTGTATCCTGGAAGGAGGTTGAGTTGGGGAGACCCTGATGTTTGCAATTGGGCTTCTTTTAAGCTTTCAAGAGGCCTCTCTTGACTCTGTACAGATGCAACCAGTTGCTCTTGGCAACCTCCTCACCTTGCAGCCGTGGGAAGAGATGATCCGGAGGTCAGCAGGCACACGGTCTCCGCCCTTCACTTCTACCAGGTCTCCTACCACCACCTCCTCCGCATTGATCTGCATCTTCTCTCCCTCTCGGATGACCAGAGCTTGCTGTGGAGAGGCCAGGAGCACCTCAGGAAATGTTTGTTTCCACCTTTGCTCTCCACTCTGTTGCTCCCCCTCAAAAGGGGGAGAAGTGAAACCCCCATAGCTTCAGCAATAAAGCTTGGTTCTGGTGTGGAGAGCTGAAAAGGCTGTTGTCTGCCCATCTCTCTTCTACCTCAAGACAGTAAGAGGTGAGCCATCCTAGAACCCTTACGCCCCAAGCTGGATGGAGCCAGTCCCTGGCGTCTACCTGAGGCACCATGTTCTTGAAGGAGTCCATGATCTTGGAGCTCTTGGCTTCCTGGTAGTAGGAGAAGCAGCCAGTGACGATGACTACAGCTGCTAGCACGATACCTAGGTATAACTGGTAAGGAGAAAGAGTTTGAAGGACCTGCCATTTCTCACCTCAAGGGGTGGCTGTCACTTGAGATGAGCACTCAAGAGTCATCCTATGTGGGATTCCCCAGCCTTCATCTGAGCCCAGGCATGAGAATGACAGTGCATCTTTCTCTCCAGCACCCCCAGTCTTCTAACTCACTCTCCTAGCATGGAAGAAGCAAAGAAGCGAGTTCCCATGCCTGAGGCTTTTCTAGGAGTGAAGGTCCAGGCATACAGACCAGCCCCTTTTAGTGGAATAAGTATGGATGAACTATCTGCATCACTGACTGCATGTGTTGGAGGGTGCTCCACAGGTACGTACAGAAGCCTCAGCTCTCTTCATCCTGAGACACTGGGACTGTGATCTTGTCCCCTGAGCACCCCCCCTTCACCTTATTTGGGGTTGAGAATTGGAGGGCAGAGCCATGGGCTGACTGGTCCAGGGGTTGCGTGCGTGGCTCACATTATCATTGGATGGTTCGTCCTCCATGGCGGCCAGGATGCCATAGGCTAGGAAGCAGAGGAGGGCCCCGATCCACAGAAGAATAGAGAAACCCCCAAAAAGTTGACGACAGAACTTGACCCACTCAGGAGTTGTGGGGGGTGGCGTGAGGGCATTGGGTCCATCCCGAGCCAGAATGTCCTGAGCTCGCTGGTTAGTGAGGCCCTATGGAGTGAGAGAAGGCGTAGGAGTGGGTACACGGAACAAACCTGAACCTCACCGCATCTCTCAGCATCTTGGAGAGTAACATCCAGCTGGCGGGGGAATTATCTGTGGTCGGAAGGGGTGGGAACATCTGTAGGGACCACACAGAGGAGCTGGTGTCTAGAAATGGGACTTGGGCCTTGAGGCTAGAAAGGACTCTCGCTGTGGCTCCACCTTCGGTTATTCTTGGGTTGAAACATGTTTTTGTTGGGACAGCAAGCATAAACACACCGGAAAGAAACATTCCTTGTCAGACCACCCTCGTCTCTTCCTGCACATCCTTCCCTTCACCAGGGCTCTAGGGAAGGTCGTCCATCACCTCCCCCCCCCCTTGACCCTTAGTGTCATTTGACTTTGGCAACCACCTATCACTTTCCAAAGAAAGCCTAGCCAAGCTCACTGTTCTTTATGCGCCAGGCCAGACCAAAGGCCTCTTTCAGGATCCAGGTGGCCCCATGTTTGTTTGATTCTAGAGTGGTACTTACTAGATAGCACTGGAATTCTGTTTGTGTGGTTTTTTTAAAAACTTTTTTGTTACTGACTTTGAGGAGGATCCACTCCTCAAATGACCTCCGTGTCATTCTGACCTACTTAATACATGAACATTGAGCTCCGACTACATGCCCTGCACTGGGAAGGATTTAGAGACAGGCACGATCAACAAAGCCTTACCCACAATCTAAAGAGGAAACCTGCATAGAAAATAAAGTAGCGTTAAAGATTGAGAGCATAGCCGGGTGGTGATGACATATGCCTCTAATCCCAGCAGCGTAACAGTTTAGGAAGAGAGACAGAAAGGAGTGTAGCACGGTAGTTTTTTTGTTTTGGTTGTTTGTTTGTTTTTTAAGACAAGGTACTGTTCTACCTTGGAAGTGACTTTATAGCCCAAGCTAGCCTTGAACTTGAAATTGTGGCTGGCTTTACAGTGTTTTCCTTTGTTGGAGCCAGGATTTCAATGTTTTGTCCTTAATTGTTGGGCCCAAGTGTTCTTTCTGCTAAGTACCTAGGGCTACAGTTGACCACCATAGCACTTGGAAGATTTTTTTTTTAAACTAAGGATTGATAGGGCATTACACAAGCCACATGGCACTCTGTCATTGAACTACGTGCAGAAGACCTCTTTGATTTAATTTTGTGACAGGGACTCTAAGTTGTCCACTCTTGCCTTGAACTTGTAATTTTCCCGCCTCAGCTTCCTGAGTAGCTGGGGTTACAGGTATGTGCCAGTGCACCTAGCTTTGAGGAACAATTTAAAATATTTTTAAATGATGCATTTGGCAATCTGACTATGGCCTGTGTTTATTTATATAACCTAGCTCATCCAAGGACAGGAGGCGTTCATCCTGGAGAAGAGGGAAAGGAAGGAGGCTGAGCACACTTTGGGGCACAGGATTAAGTGAGGAGTGTCAGCCTGGTTACAAATTCAGCAAGTAAATTTCCCTTGCTGACTCTCCTTGCTTTAATAAACAGGCTGACCATGCCTGACAGAGCTAGGGTGAGGATTAAAGAAATGGCCACACTGCATCTGATTACAGAGCCATGGTGCAGCGGGAGAGTAGGCAAGCACTATGGTAACAGGGGTGAGTCATCTCGAGCAATGGCTCCAGGCAGGGCACAGATCCTTGCCGGGATCTGAGCCCTGGGTTCGAAGGAATCCTAGCTTCCCGATACACAGGGAAAGAGGAGAAAGCAGGGGGTCCAAAATCTATTTCTGACGGTGCCACCAACTAATCCCATGACCTTGGGTAAGTCTCTCATCTCTGGGCTGCTTCCCTCACCTGCAAAGAGCATTGTGGTCTAGTGTTGAGGCTCTCCCACCTAAATCTGTCTGCTTCTCTCACCTCGTGGCTCCACTCACCTTGGACAGGTCCACTTGGTATTTTCGGCCCAGCTCATCCAAGGACAGCTTGTGGTCATCCTGGGGAAGGGGAAAAGGAGTCCCTTTGGCAAAGAAGGCTGAGCACACACACACTGGATGGAGACACTTTTGGGAAGGGGGGGGGGCTGGGCACACACTGGGGAAGTGAGGAGCATAGGCCTGTGTACAAAGCTTCTTTACATGCCCATGGCTGCTGGTGTGTGACTGTCAAAGCAGAGCTGTTCTTCCATGGCCCTGCTGAAAGCACTGTGGTCCTTACCATGGCAACTTCCTTCTTCAGCTCATCGAGCTCCTTCTCTTTCTGTTTCTTCTTGCCACCCCCATTCTCCGAAGTGGTGGCAGCAGGCGAGTACTCACGCCCTGCCTGCAACAGGAAGGGAGGGCACAGATGATCGGGGGACTAGCTGGAGCCTGTTCCCACAGCCATTGAGGATGTCCCAGCATGGGAAGCAGGGTGGTGGGGGAGAATGGGAGCAGGAAGTGAAAGAGCCCAGGCAGAGCCGTGAGGACCCCCACATTTGAACTTATTATCTGTTTACTATGTGATATAGGATTCTGCCAGACAATAAAGAAAACACACATTTTGAAAATCACAATCCTATGTTATTTGAGAGAATCCTGGGATTGGCCAGGGATTGTGTTGATGGGTAGGGTATCCTGTAGGAATGTCTTTGCCTACTTTAGAGAGGAGTCCCGGGAAGCTAAGAGAAGCTGGCTTGGTGGTGGCAATGGAATGGGTAGGGATGATGGACTGGGAGAAGCTAATGGTGACAAGGTTCAAGTATGTCTATAAAATGGGAGCTCAGGGTATTCTGGGAGCCCTCACCAGCCTGCTGGGCAGGCTTACCCGGGACTGGACAAAGGCAACTCACAGAACTTGAAACCCCAAAGCATAGCTGAGTTCTCTTTGTCAAGAAATGTGTGTGTGTGTGTGTGTGTGTGTGTGTGTGTGTGTGTGTG